TGCAGATTTATCGCAGACTAGGAATTTTTTATCATTGAAATCATCACACCGGACAGACTTGTTTTCGAGTTGTGTGTGTTTAACTCCTTACATCGTGATGCGTTCTAAAGTAAATATTTCGAATGTTATCACATGTAGTTATCACTGACAACCGTTTTCATTATTTGTTTTTGCACATTCTATAAAAAGGTGGTGTTTTTTTTTTAGAGCAAACAAGCTGTTTGTCTTCTGACATCATTCGCTTAGCTAAAATGAATTTGCAATTGTTGTTGTTAACCTAATTAGAAATATAAGATAAAAGTGCATAACAGTGTCACTTAATAAATTTATTTATAAATGTACAACAAATACATATAAGATAAAATAAAAATAATTGTGTGGTCAAAATGTATTTATTTACTTGAGATTTTTTTAACTTTTTTTTAATTAAAAAAATATCTTTGTAAATATGAAAGTTGCCGTTCATAAGAGACGACTAGGACAAACTCTGCAATTAGGTTAGGTTAAGTTGTGGTGGCTAATGATCTATCGTATCGAAATCATTTAAGCCTGACTAAGACCCCTTGTGATGGCACAAAAACTTGACCATCAAGCTTCGTTATTCAACTATTTTGATTCTCTAATGAATCTCATTAGATTCATGACTTTGACGGCGACTTACTTCGATAGGCCATGCAGCAACAGGGCCCCACAATTCCGACACCTAGCCCTGCTCAAAGCAGAACAGTCGTATAAGAGTTGAGAGATCGTTTCCTCCTCCTCATCCCCCTTGTTGCTTCTGCAGCATCTCCTAATATTTCAAACAGTGGCCTGTCAGAATTCTTGTTACTGGCCTGGATTTGCGGCAGGTTATAGTATCATTCCACCTTCAGTGAGCAGTGACCCAGTGACCCAGTGACCCACGTTAGCAGCAGTCTATTCTGTTTGTTTGGTCATCTCCTGTAGAGATCGGTGACAGTCCAGCACTAATTTGGAATTAAGTGTAAGCGAGCTAAGTGCTTTAATAGTTGCTTAACTGTCGCTGGCTCCGCATTGCTTTGCAGCCTCCATGATAACAGATATCTTCGTCTGGAAATCACTACAATGGTCAAGTAGTCTGAAAGAGAGTTCCATTGGAGGGTTCCCTGAGAAGACACCTTCGCCAAGTCTCTTCTCTTGCTTTGACCGATTCGTGTATATTTTCAGGCTGTCACCTGTTACACAACCTCCACGTTCAGAGAACGGCTATTTTCTCCCTCCTAAAATATCGTTAGTTCAGTTTCGGAATACTCGTAAATTTCTCTGTTAACGATTCAAAATTCTCTGTTAACAATTTAACATTCTCTGTTAACGATTTAACATGCTCTGTTAACGATTCAACATTCTCTGTTAACGATTTAACATGTTCTGTTAACGATTTAACATTCTCTGTTAACGACACAACATTATATGTTAACGATTTAACATTATCTGTAACGGTTTAGTAATCTGTTGACAATTTAACATTCCCTGTTAACGATTTAGCAATCTGTTAACAATTTAACATTATCTGCTAACGATTTAACATTCTCTGTTAACAATTCAACTTTCTCTGTTAACGATTTAACATTCTCTGTTAATGATTCAATATTAACTATTCAAGATTCAACATGCTCTGTTAACGATTCAACATTATATGTTAACGATTTAGCATTATCTGTTAACGGTTTAATAGTCTGTTAACAATTTATTCTCTGTTAACGATTCAACATTATCTGTTAACAATTTAACGTTATCTGTTAACTGTAAACGATATAGCATTAACTGTTAACAATTTAACATTCTCTGTTAACAATTTAACTTTCTCTGTTAACGATTTAACATTCTCTGTTAATGATTCAATATTATATGTTAACAATTTAACATTATCTGTTAACGATTTAACATTCTCTGTTAACAATTTAACATTCTCTGTTAACGATTTAGCAATCTCTTAACAATTTAACATTCTCCGTTAACGAATTAACATTAATGCTAGCTCTTCGTTTCGGCTAAAAACGAAATAAATTTTATTTTGATAACTACTTTAACGATAATATTTCCAAATACTTCAACCGAAACGATAGATTTTTTTATTAACGTGATTTTAGCTCCCTTTATTAATTTTAAATTATGCTACAGTTAAAGCATAAAAAATTGTTTTTCTGAATCGCACCATTTGTTTGTATACACATTTAATCAAATTTCACACTGAATTTTCAAAACCTCCCCTCCCCCTAAACAAGTTCGAATTCAATTCACATAGTAAGAAAAATTTTCCGCCTGCAAAAATGCAACTTTTGACCTTGAAACCGAAAACAACTACATAGAAAACAATATTTTGTAATTTTTATTCGTTTATTGTCTCTTACAAACATAACATTAAGCACTAAGTAGTAAAAATATAGACTTGGTTATTAAATTATCTACATTAAAGTTTTTGATGCTAAGCAAAACGTGACGCTAAGCAATATATTGTGTATAACAAATAATAATATGAGCCAATATAAATACACATACATTGCTACGTACACATGTTTATAATATATATACTTATTGTTACCCGAGATCATGTTTTCTTTCAAATTTATCGCTTGGTTATTGCTGAGTACGTCGCACAATGGCGGAAAGTGTTTAAAATATGCGCATTAGAGCAAAAATTAAAGTAGCAAATAGCAGATTTTCTTCTTATATTTCCCTACTTTACATATGTATATTAGGTAATTAGAAAAGCTTCACCGTGATAAAATTGAATAACGCATTCTGGAGAGATGAGTTGAATTGTTTATGTTTGAAAATTGCTTAACCGATGGCTGTACACAAATGTCTGCAGAGCAAATTGTCAACGAAATGAGTCCGTTCTTTTGATGTTATACTAGAACATTATTGCAATTAAGAGAGTGTTGATTTTCTTGGATCTTAACTCTTTATTTACTCATAGCAGATGAACAAAACAACAATAAAATACTTCATATATTCCTCCTTCCTTAAAAGAAATTTTCTATTCGTTTTAATTAAATGTTTTTCAAAGAAAAAGCTCTTCTTCTTTATTGACTCAATTTGTCAAATTTAAGCTGGCATAAAGGTATTTTCACACTGTATACAAGGAAAAAGTAACATCTAACAATTGGAAAATGCTTAATAATTGCATTTCCTTATGAAGAAGATGATTTATGGGATCTTAATTTCCGGCTGCAGGGTGACAGACGGAGGCGGCTCAGTATAAATTGTAGGTCCCTCCATTTTTTGAAAGAGCATCAAGACACAAAACCACAAATTGGACGAGGAACTCGGCCGAAGTTACAATGCGCCAAATATATTGGATGAGTGCATAAGTTCGTGACCGATTCCGCTGATGCCGTTCGAATCATTTGAGAGTGGCGCTCGTGAAAGAAATATATACATATTATATATCATTGGAAAGGTGACAGTCCGAACTGTAAATCAAGCATAAAATAACTTCGTTTTGATTTGAGTTGCTTAGTGAAAAGACGCATGGAAGATGGACAACGAAAACGATCATATGCGTCATATTATGTTATACGAATTCCGCAAAGGAAAAACAGTAGGCGTTGCAACTAAAGATATTCGCGAAGTTTATTTGGACCGTGCTCCAGCACTCCGCACAGTAAAGAAATGGTTCGCGAAATTTCGTTCTGGAGATTTTAACCTCGAAGATCAACCTCGCAGTGGACGGCCATCTGAGCTTGATGACGATGTTCTAAGGACTTTAGTTGCGAATAACTCACGTATCTCGACGGAAGAGGTTGCCAGTAAATTGAACGTGAACAAATCAACTGCGTTTCGTCGTTTAAAAAAGGTTGGGTACACTTTGAAGCTCGATACATGGGTGCCACATCAGTTGAGTGAAAAAAACAAAGTGGACCGTATGTCAACAGCAATTTCTTTGCTTCGACGGAAAAAATGGATCCTGTACAACAATGTTCAACGCAAAAGAACATTGAAACAGGCACACGAAGGGGCGGAACCGATGTCGAAAGGTGGATTGCATCCGATGAAGGCATTTGGTGGGATATCCGATTTTAATTTGCACTTGAAATCGGGCACGAATTTATGCACTCATCCAATATATTTATATATATCATCAGTTATATAAAAATTAAAGCAAAAAATTGACATTGCACATATATGCCGAAAAGAACAAGTTGCATACTAGTATATTACCAGTATAAAGCTGATGCATAGTCGGACAACTGACAGTTCGTGTTAAAAACACCAGTTACAGTTACTTACATGGGAGATAGCTGGAAGATGAAGTAGTTTGTTCAAAAATGCATACCAGTTAGACTCTAATTAAGAGCCATATGTGCATTTATATCTACATATATTCATAGACATTGTCTCTCTCCTTCTCTAAACGAGGTTTAATGATTGTGGCATATTTTATTTGTTATTATTATTTTTATTTTTTTTTTATTTTTTTTTTTTATCTCACTTATATATTTAATATTTATTATTTTTCTGACTGCCCATACAGTGTACATATGTATGTATGTATAAGCGAATGTTGTACAACGCAAATTGATTTCAATTAAAGTCACGTTGCACGCTGTAAATCCACAATCAAACAAAGCAAATTTCGTTTGCTATTTTTGCCCTCACACTTTTTGATAAACAAATTATATGTATATGTATGTATGTACATGTGTATATAGTACTCGTAAATATAGAACAGAATTTGTAATTCAAATGATGCCACAAATCGAAAACACGTTTTCCAACAATATCTGCATGCATGCATGTATTATTAAATAAAAAAAAATAAAAATAAAACAACAAAAATGCAATTTGTTTGCATCTAAAATGAAATGTTACATCAAAACGACCTCCGAATCAGAGAATTTAATTTACTTTCCATTTCAGCGCGAAATTTCGTAAAACGCACACATCTAAAAATTTGCTTATACGCAAATAAACATTTTTTTTTTTTGTTGTTAAACAACTGAAATTAATCAATTAAGACCCTCTATAAAGTAAGAGGGTTTTCCAAAAATTCCGAACGCCGTTGCCTGCCACACACACACGGTGTGGCAGCAATCGCCGCACGGGGAATATATATTTGTAATGGTGTCAGCATAAATATCCTCACTAAACGCTCATTGGATATTATGCTCCCCACGACAAGGAAGACAGATTGTGGCGGCAGCGCAACGCTTATACCACTGTCGATACGAAACGTTTGAGAATTGCAAGCGTGAATGAAACAAAGTAAAATTTGCGAAGATCAAATTGGAAAACTACCTTTTTTTTTTGTAATAAAAACTAGTTTTTTTTTTTAATTTTATTTAACATATTATTTTGTATGAAAAAAGTTCAAGGGTAGGCAATGAGTGTTGTTGCTGCCATTTTAAAAATGGTGGTGAGTTTTGAAAATGAGTTGCCGAAATGTCGTGCGATTTGTATAAAATACATTAAATCGAGGAATTTTTTTATAATTATTATTTTTTGTTTTGTTTTGCAACAAATTTTCATAAAATACAAAATAATCTACTTTAAAATATTTCAGTACAAAAAATTTGCACCGCTTTTGAATTAAAAAAAGTTATTTTTTTGGTGAATCATGGCTTATGCGAAAAATAAACATATATACAAATGTATGTACATATATGTAAGTCAATCTCTGTATAAAAGTATATAAAATGCTTTGTCCTGAATGACTGATGGATGAACACATATCCTCAACCAGTCCTCGTAGTGATCTGAAGCTTGGCCGGGTGGGTTCTGTGTATGACACATGCACCGCATAAGGTCTGGTAAGTGGGCTTGAGCCGTTCTATTCGAAAAAATCTAAACTTATTTTAAATGGTTTGATTCACATGAAAGTTGGTCTATATAAAGGTAACACTTTGCCTAAATTGATATGGACAACAGTTTTTCTGCCGGGAAGTAAACTTTGGTGCGATATATTCTTAAAAAAAAATTGTTTATCGTTTGATTTAAATGTTTAAAATTTTTTACCGAAGTAGCTTTCGACTTAAATTAATATGGCGCATACTTTTTCTTCCGGGAGATGGGCCTGGGGATAAATTATTTAAAAAATCATTTGTATAGTTCGATCTACAGAGCTATAAAAGTAGCTTTTCGCTTAAATTATCGTTGGAAACACTTTTTCTTCCTGGAAGTATTATTGGAATCCATTAAATGGTCTGGTAATGTTTAATATTTGGAATATAGATAGCTCTTTGCTTATGCCAATGCGTTTAGACATTTTTTTTTTGTGGGAGTGTACCATCCGAAAGAATCATATTTATGGTTCTATTTACGTGACATTTAAAATATGGAAGACTCTTCACCTAGGCTAATATGTATAAGACTTTTGTTTCTTTATAAGTTAAAATATAAACGTAAGAACCGAATAAATATTGTATTCGGACCATCTTAAAACTCCATGCGAATCAGTTGCCGAGCAAATTCTAATCAAAAAAATTTAAATATTTTTTTTTTTAATTCTTTTATTGTGTTTTACGTTGTAGACTTCGAGCTTGGTAAAAAAAATAAAGTTTATTTAATAAAAAAGTACATATTTTAATTCTGAGATAGCTGTATGAGCCTGTGTGTGTGTGCATTGTGAGTTGCATGCAATTTTCGTTCTTTGCTGGCTTTTGAGCAATGTGCTAACTGGACGCTGGTTCGGGTCTTAGATATACCGAGACGCGTCGATGGATTTTTATGAGAAACTTTTATTTCAAGACGGCACTGCACTCGAAGTGCTTGAATGACATGCCTTGCCATTAATAAAATTAATTTTCTATGTAATTGCGGTTGATGTTGATCGGAGCAAGAGACGAACCCTAGCCAGCCGTACGACAGTACGCACTACTAATTACTCATCACAATACGAAATGAAATTCACTTCATCGACACTTTTGATCAAATTGGAAATTTTAAGCGAGCTACATACAATATATATATATGTACATATATACAAGTATGTATATTTATGCATGTACATATGTATGTGTCTGCTAATAATTTGTAATTCCAAGCGTCAAAGTAGGAGGTGCTATTAGTGCGTTAATTTCTTGGTTTTCCTAACTATGGTTATATATACATATGTATGTCTGTGTATTTGTACTTTTGTACATTAAAGGAACTCGCAGAATTATTTTTTTCTCTTTTTGTTTATATAATTCCTGTTGCAGTTATGCATGTTCCTACATACATATGTACATACATGTACATAATGTAAATACATACATATGTAATTATAAAAATGTCTTGCTTGGCTTGCAACGTGACTGAAAACCTTTGCCAATCCCAATATACAATTTTTCGAAGAAAAGTCTTTTGGGCGGAACACAGCGTTAAGCGGAGCCAAAAGAAATATCCTTCAGGTCATTATATATTGTTTAGTACATATACATCTATGTACGTATGTGTGTACATATATTTATTTGTATATAAAACAGGCAAGCCGTGGTTAAATCACCAACAGATAGATATGTACATATGTATGTATGTATTATATTATATGTTAGAAAGTGCAGGCAACCGATAGCAACGTGACTTGAGGCTCTGACGACGACGAAGAGAACTTAACTCAACGAATTTTTTTAATTTCATAAGCAAGCAAACATGCAAACATACGTATTTAATTCACAAGCTTGGGTTATTTTTATTTATTAAATATATACCTATATACATATGTATGTACCTGCAGACGTCTGCCAGTCAGAAACATATGCATGTATGTATAAATTCTCTTCTCTACCTGCTTATACATATACACATACCAGTATGTATGTATAAATGTGTATGGGCAGCCATCATGCAAGGTTTTTCGAAACAGAGTTTGCTTTGTTTACATATAAACATACATATAAACATTACATATAATGTAAATGTCTTGTATTTGTGTAGTTCTTTCGGGTGTTCTACGTAATCATCACGTTTTCCTGACATATTTTGATATATTTATTATTTGTTGTTATGTACAGTACATACTATATGTGCATATGTATACGAAAATATGTAAAAGATTTGATTTGTTTATTAAATCATCTTTGTTTTCTCCTGCTTAAATGGTGTAGGCAGAGTTAAAAAAACAAACGGTACCCTGGTGTGTTTCCCTGGACCACAAACAAATATGAAAACACCATTTTAAAAGTGTTTTCGAAAAAAGCATTTCTTAAATACTATGTACATTCAGCTTGTTACGCATAATTTGTCATTTATTGTCATTTATCTTAATACAATCAAATACTCATAATTATAAAAAGGTGGCATCTCTCAAAATTAAAAAAAAAAAAAACAACCTTTATAATTCCTTTTAATTTGGTTGCCTCAGTATAATATTTTTTTATTTAATTAAAATTTTGAAACAGGTGGCAACTCTCAGTCGCCATCTTTAAACAATTCATTACCCATATAAAAATTATGCCGTGTAATGTATACTATATTTTATCGTTTTTTTTTTCTTTTTTTAAATTGCAATTTTTAAACAGGTGGCAAGACTGCTAAAAATATTCTCATTTTAAACTCTTCAACTTCTTCAGTTTGATACCCATATTGCAATATTTCGTTAATTTTATCACTTCGTTCAATAACTTTTTTCAAGACAGGTGGTAGCACTGCCGATTTGAAAATCAAAACCTTACTTAAGCTCACTTGAACACACACAAAATCGAAAGAAATAATCGGCCACGACTACCAGCTGAATATGGTGGCGTTTAGTCCACCCATCGATAGTAGACTTTCGACCACTCCGCTTAACTATCCATATCCATATGCATACGTAATCGAGCTATAGCCTAAATACAGTGGTGGCACACTAATTAGCACACCCTGTCATATTCCAATAGTACTGCTTGAAAATTGAATATAACGGAATTTTCGGAAATGTTTGTTTTTTATTAAGTTGTTTTATTGACCTTAGAAATCAGGCATTCCTTAAAAAAAAAATTTTTTTTTCAGAGAAGTATTCCGTTATCTCAGAAGGGCTTTCGATTTAAACTGGCATTTTAATTAGCACACCCTGACATCAGGCAAGTTTTTCGTAATTCGTCTGCACTTAAGGTTGTGATTTTTCTGCGGGACTTGCTGTGAATACAATTTTTATCAGACTCATTATTGTGAAACAATGGGATGTTGTAAATACTCCAGTGAAGTGGAAAGGCGCTTAATATGAAAAATGTTCCAGGACAGAAAAACATTAGTGAAAATGCACTTTACTTTTGAAGTTCGCGACGGAAAAAAATGCAAGAATAAAACATTTTCAAATAAAAAGAGATCTAAATGCAGAAAGAACACAAAAAGAGAAGATTCCCGCATTGCTCGGCAGGCGCTGAAAGATCCTTTTGCATCTGCCTCACAAATCCGAGTTGCCTTGCAGGACTAGTATGGCGTAAACATCGCCAGCAATACTGTTAGATAGCGACTTTTGGAAAACAATTTTCGGGAATGTCAAAGTATTCAAAAAAAAAGTCGAAAATTTCAAACAGTAATCAAGAGACGCGATTGGAATTTGTCAGCTTACATAGGGATTCCCCTCTATCTATGTGGAATTCTGTCGTGTGGAGCAAAAAGTCTAAATGCAGCTTACACTAGCCTGATTGTGGGGCGCTTATGAATAAGCGAGGCTCTCTAAATAAAGAATTGAACACGAAGAATACCAGGTTAAGCTCAGTGGGGGTGGTGCTATGATTTTGGGTTGCTTTACGATACTTGGTGTTCGTTCTATTGTGCAGATAACGAGCAAGCTGGATTCTGTAGCATACGAGAAATGGCTTGAAAATCACCTTTTACCGTTTTTGTAAGGACTTACCGTTATCTCTATACACCACCGCAGTCTTTCAACAGCAAAATTCGCACTGCCACACAAGTCGAGTGGCTTCAAAACCAGGATTTTTTATCTTTAACATTATTTAATAAATGTTATTGTATATTGGAACTCCTTCTCGATATTTTAAATTTTTCTTTAATTTTCTGATAATTTTAGTCTACATGGGAGAATGCCCCAATTAGTGAGCTACCCCTGTACATATGTATGTATGTGCAAATGTAGGTCAAAAATCGAATTGTTTGCTCGTTTTCTATCAAATTTAAAAAAAAAATATTAGTTATAGCTCTTCTCTTCTACCTTTCATTAACGATTTGCGCACATACATACATACATTTGTCTATAAATATACA